GCGACGCAGGCAGCCGAAGAAGCCGTGCAGCAGAAGGCGCGGCGCGTGGGCCAGAGCCGGTTGGAGAAGGAGCGGACCCAGCGCGCCAATAAGCAGAAGGTGGAGAGGGACGAAGACTGCCGCCGGCAGGAGCTGCTGCAGGCCATCGGGCGCAAGCTGGAGCGGAGCGAGCAGCTGTCCCGGGAGCGGCGGAGCGCGCTGGAGACCGCCCGCTCCACAGCCCGGGCCTCCTTCCACGTGCGGGAGAAGGTACGCGAGGAGACCAACACGCGCTCCTTCGACCGCATGGTGCGGGAAGCCCAGCTGCACGCCAGCCTGGACCGCAAATGACCGCGGCCCTGAGCTGGCCAGGCGGCCCCGCTCAGCCCTGCGTGGCCTCCCTTGGCCTTTATGACCAGACTGCGGAAGTCTGCGGTCGGGGCCCAGCGCTGCGGCCTGGCCAGGCTCCCGACCGAGGAGGCGATGAGAGGACAGATAGGAGAGCTGCCAGCCCACCGCCTTTTAAAAATCGGACTTCATTTGGAAATGACATAGCACAATCTTTAACCACATCTCCTTGGTGGCTCCCGCAGCGGCCCTCGCCAAGCTTCCCAGTGTGTCTTTGGGGTTGGAGTAGAAAAAGAGCGGGGAGAGGGGGCCTGAGTCGGGACTGGGGGAGGGCCCCCGTAGGAGAGGGTGCAGCGGTGGCCGCCCCCTTCTGCAGCAGTCAGCCCAGGCACCTTCCGCATGTGGGTGTCTGAGGTGACATTGGTTACCGCAGCTGAGGAGGCGTCGCCTTGGCTCACCTCCATCTTTTAAAATAACGGCAAGTTGTACAAAGCTCAGAGGCCTCGCAGAAAAGCACAGCTCTTCCAAGGTGTTAGACCACACCAAGGGACCCCAAAAGCGATTGGTTTTTGTATGCTTGACTTTTAAACTGCCACTTGAGCAAATTCTGGTCTTAGTTAAGGTAGTTTTTTTTGGTTGATTCCCATAGGCTTTCTAGGTAGACAATCATCTGCAAATAATGATCAATTTGTGTCTTTTTTCCCTCCCATTCTCCCAAGTGACACAAGAAATCGGTTGGTTTGGTGATGCTGTTTCACTTTAGTGGAAGCCCCTGGGGGAGATGAGTTCCCTAGGCAGCATTGTTCCGCCGGATTCTGCTTTCTTGCAGGGTAGCTTCAGGGGGAGGCCGTGTCTGATGCCCACCTCCCAGTGTGGAGCCCACTCGTCGAAAGACATCAGCCATGCCTTACGAAGCAGAGCTACCTTATGTGCCTGCCCAGGCCGATCCTGCCTAAATCTCCAGCCCTGGATGCTGTCCCTGAGGGTGGGCCCAGCGAGTCTGGAGCTAGGATTCCCTCGGGGAAGGAATCATCCCAGCTGCCCTGACAGTCATCTCCTGTGGGGGCCGCTTTGCTGTGGAGAGTTGTGGTCGCTATTGTTGGTTCTGTAGCTTCCCCTCCTCCCTCACATGAGGAAAAAAGAGAATGTTCCCCCTTAAGTTCCTGGTTCCCCCTCACCTTTGCTGGAAGTGTTGAATCATTCTCTCCGTGCCTCACCTTTCCCACTGGCCAGACGGGGCCATAAGTATCTTCTCTTGGTACCTCAAGGTCTTCCGGATCCAAAGCACCGCCTCAGTATTATTTGTTGGTCTTCTTTGTGCCTTTCTTGACCTGGAGTAGAGAAGCAGGAGGGCTGCTGTTGGCCTAGTTGGTTTCTGGGAATATTGATTCCTGGGCGTTGGAAGGGGCAGTGCATTACAGCAGATAATCATTTAGCTGCTGGGGGAAAATACTTGCAAGACCAGGCCACTCCCTGGTCCCAAAAGTCCCACTCAGTTGTCTTTGGGCAACTTTAATGCCTAGAGTGCTTCCTTCCCATGAAGCCGAAATCAGCCCCCTTGGCCATATCCACCCACTGACTCTGCCTTCATCACGGAAAACATTACATTTTACATTAAATCAGGATCAGGAAATAAAAGTTACCAAAAAAGAAAAAAAGAATCAGGGTAGAGAACTACTATATTAGACATGTTTCATGTATATTCTGCTGGGCAGAATTGTCCCTAAAATGTCTGGTATTACACACACACACACACACACATATACACACACTCCATCCGTACCCCCCCCCAATTGTATGCCAGCAGGTACAAAAGCATTGTGTAGAAGGGAGCAATACTTAGGTGTTACACAGGAGCTATGCCAAGGTTTATTTCTTGAATGGATGAATTTTTCCCTCTAATTTTCTTCTTGTCGGTAATCAGGTTATCAGTGAGCTAGCTGGAATAAATGGTATTGTCTGTGAGTCGGGGCATTTGACTAAAAGGTTAATCTGATACTTACTGGTTCTTACCTTGTGGCTCCTGATTTCCTAGAGAGCTTTTGAAACGTGAATAGGAAATTCCATGTAAAACTACTTTCTTCCAAAGTACGTACATTCATTTGAGAAGGACCGCAATCTGGTTTTCTGGATAACGCACTGAAGGGTACACAGGTGATCTTACCTTGCCCTCTGTTCAGTTTGTTTTCTGACTTACTGAGTGACTTTGGATAGATCACCTCTCTGTGCCTTGGTTCCCCACCTGTGGAATGGGGATTGTGACTTTGGCCTTCCTCAGCACTGTGAAGATGAATCAGAATCAAAGAGGTTTCTCAGCCCTATGACTTCAGAACTGCAGGTGCAATGGGCATAAACAGAAAGGATCATGTGACCGGACTATGCCCAGAGAGTATAATGTACTGTTGTGATCTAGTGACGAAAGGAATGGTCTCAAAAAGCACATTGCAGCTACCTGGAATTTAAATAAAGCTTAAAAAAGAAAAGCACATTGCCAATCATAGTGTCACATGTGATGCAAAGGCCCAGGTCTGAATCTGAATGTCACCAAATTAGAGGTTTACACTTAGCGAAAAGCACTGTGTAAAGGAAAAAAAACTTGGATTCCAAAAAAGAGAGAGAGATCCATATAGCTAAGTAAAATTAAAGCAAAGACAGAAGCCAAACCTAGTCAACGTAAAGAATGGTTCTTCTAAATTTCAGATCATCCTCTAGAATATAGACCCATTGCTACATCCTAGGATAAGTGGTCATGTTGCCCTTTGAGGAGGAGCAATTTCCAGAATCCTTTGTTGGGCTCTTCATTTATATTCTCTTTGACGTGATACTAGAGAGAAGTAGTTCCTATTCTGAACTGCAGCAAGAGACAGTTGGAGGGTTGGGGGGCGATGGGGATAGTGGGTGGAGAAAGGCGTACTTCTCCTGATGTAAACATTCTAACAAGTGCCCAGAATTGGCCTCAGAGCACCATGCTGGAAGTTTTTTTACGATCCAGGAAATTGCAGCCCTGAAGCAGTCTCAGACCTTCACATTTGCCCTCTTGGAGCATCCCCGGGCTCCGAAAAGAGAGAACATGAAATGGAGTAAGGAGGAGTGGGAAGGGTTGGAAGAAGCTTTTGTTCGGTTCATTACCAAGGAAACAAGCAGGACAAAGCTGTTTCAGATGCAATCATCGGTGAAGCTAGCCCAGCGTCCTGCAATGACCAGTGCCTACACCACATCTGGACAAGAAGACGGAAGTTTCCCTTCAGAAGCACACAGACTGAACCTTCAAGGGATTTGCCAAAGGTGAAGAGTGGATGGAGGAGTGAAGGCATATCAGAATGCAGTTTGTGTTCAAGCTACTCTGTAAAGTCCACCAGTTATCATTCCTTCTCCTTTAAAAAGTCCCTTGAAACAGAGGGATGCCTGACTTTGCATAAGGGGCTGTATATTATTTAGCCTCAAATCCCCTATAGATCACACTTTAGCACCTCACATATGGTTTGCACATAAATACTAGATGGAGAGAGGGATAGATGGTGGATGGCTGGGGGACAACTGACTGGTGATCCAATGAAATCTGTGAAGGATAGATTGGGTGGGCAAACCTCCTTTCATTTGACAGATTTGTATTGAACATGTGCTGTGCGCCAGGCACTGCTTTTGATGCTGGGAAGACAAAGTCCGATCACTGACCCTGGGGACCATTGATGCTTCATTGTCATGAACAGACATCTGTATGTCCCCATTGGGCTTAACTACCTTCCTACCCTGGTATCCATCCATAGGTAGATCTGATGGTCCTTCAGGCACTGACTTCAAGCCTTTTTAGTTTCCTGGGGACACGCCATCTGCCAACCAACCGTCACTCAGTCCCTGTTGTTCTCTTTCCCTTGATTAGCCAGGAGCCTTGATTAATCAGGTCAAATTCATAAGGTCATGTACTTAATCAGTTTTAAATTACAGTAAAAAGAGAGAGTAAGATTAATTACCTTCAAGGGTGTTATTTGCCACGACGTTAACAAAGGCAGCATAAATAATGATCGTCAAAAAAAGAAAGGTAATGATCATCAACCCAGAGAATGAGCCTCAGGCCATGCAGAGTCCCAGATCACTAAAACAAGGTACCAGCTTCATCATTCAACTGTTCCGTGCTGAGACAAGAAACTCAACATTCCAGCTTAAAAAAGCAATTCCAGCTTAAAAGTTTCAACAAAAAGAGATTTCTGATCAATACTAAATTGATGAGAAAGGTTAGTGAAGCAAATATTCTTCTTAAGACTTCCAGGTGATTGTGGTTGCCCGTAGGTTGCTCTGTAGACTTGCCTTTTCTCCACCATACGACTGCCGTCTCCACCCTGCATGTCCCAGGGAAACATTTGGCAGACGAACACAAGGAAACCTGGCATTTCTTGACACAGCCTGGAAAGCAGCTTTCAGGGACCCAGCAGATAGCTCTCAGTTCCAGAAATGTTGTTTAGGCCCTATAGGTGATACACGTTTGGCTTCGGTTGTCTGATGCAGCACCTGCTGTATTCTGACCAATCACGTGCTTTAATTACCTAATTGTATAGAAGAGCACCTGGTCTGCCCACCTGTGTCCGCTGTTCCACGGATTCTGGTGCTCTCTCTAGGTGCGCCTCCTCCCAGCCCAATGCATCCCTTCACATGTCCCTTCAGGCTGGGCCCTGGTGCTGCTAGGGCTTCAAAAAGTCAGGGCTGGGACAGAGGGTGGAGTCAGTAGCAGATGTTAGGACATAGAGGGGAGGGTGGTTTCCTTTTGAGGAACAGTGATGATCATTGTTTGCACTGTTGTTACTTCTTGATTCATCAAATACTGTCCTGTCCCATATGAGCACAGACTTGGTCCAAAGTGATTTTTAAATTAGCTGCCATTTTGAAGTCTTCATGCCTTTCTTCCTCTCCACTAGTACAGTATTGGTAGCATGTTCTTGTGTCAGACACTTGCACAATTCATAGGACTGTCAGACAGTAGATCCGTATCTACTCCTGTGTGAGTGTCTGTATGCACGCACACACACACACACACACACACACACTCCTACCAGTTCCAGCATCAGCGTTCTTTCAGAGGGAGGGAAATTGTGGTTGTATTCTTCCAGGGAAGGGTAAGCTCTGAGGAAACGTAGCTGCCCCTTGGGAGGGGTCCATTGACTCCACCTACCTCCAGCTCAGAGCTGCTTCAGGCTCTGGCCTGTAAGCACAGTGTCCATATTTCCCAAGCCCAGCAATGAGCCACGCGGGTGACAAAGGGTCTTCATACTGCCACTACACTTCTCCTTTCCCCTTCTCAGTGTGACAGACTGGCTGGGAAATGGAATTTGGATGCCAAAATGTTGACATTCGGAACATCTCAGCATGATGGAATGACTAACATCCACAAAGTTCTGAACATCCAGTCCATGTGGCTGCCATAGCTTCAAGGCAAAGAGTTTGGCAAAGAAGCAAGGATCTTGACTTATTCAGACTGTTACCTACTGTTCAATGGGCTCCTCTTGTCATCTACAAAAGGAGGACAACAGATCCTACATGGTAGGCGGTTGTTAAATGGGTTAATGCTTGGAAAGCAGCTCAGTCCCTAGAAATAGCACTCAATTCATGGATATTGTTATTCTGAACTCGGGTGGAAAAGGAAGGAATGAAGTAGGTTGAACGTCAGCCAGGTGGTCCTAGTGGACACCAGGCTTTGATGGTAGCCCTTTGCAGTTGTCTGTATCCCTTGCTGTGTGGCAATCCCCCAACCAACCCAAAGGAAGGGGCTCTGGAGTAATGGTTCCCCTAGCGATGTGCTGTAGCCTGGGGCTGGGGCGGGAGGGATTACCTTGTTTACCAAATGTTTGGCAATAAAATTGACATCTGGTGGTGATTCTCAAAATTTTATTTTAAGACTTCCTTAAATGATGGCTAAGATGACCGAATGTTTTAAAATGTGTACACCTTTCTTGGGGAAGAGGATGTTTCAGTCGTGGTACCAAATTCTATAGTAGTATCTTTAGCAGAAGAGGTTGTGGGAGGTGTGCTGGTACTGCGGGCTGTGATGCCTGGCAGAAATTCTGGGATGGGCTGCCGTCTCTGCTGTGGCTGCGTGGGAATGAGAAACAGGGTCTGCGACAAGCTCAGCCTGGGAAAGTGCTGATGGCTCATTGTAGGAACAGATGTGGGAGCAGAAGGAGAGAGGTGGGTGTGTATTCGCATCGCTTCATCCTCAACAAATGACTTTTCCTAAGAAGGCTCAGAAAAGTGCTATTCTTCCCTGCCCCGCTGGCCCTGCACACAGCTGCCTGGGGGATGGCTGCACAACTGGGCTTGTAGAAGTCGAGTCCCCATTCCGGATGTAGAGCAGTGCACAGCCGAGTGGCCCGTATCAGCTCTCCCGTGTATATCAGAAAGTGAGGTGCCCTCCTGCTTTGTCACCTTTCTTCTGCCCTTGGACACCCTAGAGGGAGGCTCCAGTGGACCTTAGAGGCCTCCTGAGCCCTCAGCAAAATAGTAGAGTAGGGTGAGAAGAGTGCCTACAGGGCCAAAGTGAACAATCTGTAAACGCTGGGATTGTGGGTGATGATAACTAATGCATACTGAGCACGTACACTGTGCAGCTGCTTTAAGCACCTAATCCTCACCAGGTCTCTATGAGGTAAGTAGTAGTATTCTTCTCATTTTACAGATGAGAAAACTGAGGCACCAAGTTTAAGTGACTAGTATTGGGCATAACTGGGCTTGGACTCAGTTAATCTGGCTGTACAGCAAATGCTTGCAACTAGTCTGTTCTGTCGCCTCTTGGGAATCAGTGGGAAATATATTTTTTAAAAGTGGGCCCTCCCAGAGCCTTCCAATGCCAGCCATTTGAATCACCACCCACTGTGCCCATGCGTAAGGCCTATAGGGACTCAGGCTCAGACCCCATCTGGACCTGGTGGGTTGTGCTGAACCTGAGGGTAAGATTGAGGTTCACTGCCTGGAGAAAAGATGAGAGACTCTCATGCTGACCCTGAAGCTTAGTGCATGTTCTAGAGCAGAGGTTCTCCAAGGGTGGTCCTAGGCCAGGAGGGTCAGCACCAGCTATTCTGGGGGTGGGACCTTGCAATCTGTGTTTTAACAAGCCCTGCAGGTGATTCCAGTGTGCACCTAAGTTTGAGAATCACTGCTCTAGACCCATGCTCTCCAGTTCGGGAGTCACTAACCACATCTGCCTGTTTCAATTTAAATTAGTCAAATTTAAACAAAACTAAAAATTCAGCTCCTCAGTCACACTAGCCACCTTTCAAGAGTTCAGTAGCCACATGTCCCTGGTAGCCACCCTATCGGACAGCAGAGGTGTAGAACATGTCCATCATCACAGCAAGTTCTATTGGGTTGCACTGCTCTAGAACCCAGTAGCAGAACCCTGCTACTCCATACTGTGGTCCACAGACGATCAGCATTGGCATCACCTAGGAGTGGGTTAGAAATGAAGAATCCTGTTTCCATCCCAGAACTTCGGGTTCAGAGTCTGCTTTTTTTGCAAGATCCTCAGTTAATTCGTGCTGCTCTTTAAAGTGTGAGAGCCACTGCTCCGGAAGGCAAGCCCAAATCCAGTTCATTTTGCATGTGTGGTTAACTCCCATTGGTAAATTCTCCCCACCACCCTACCTCCTTGTTTCTAGGCAACTCTTTTCTTCCTGACAACTTTGTGTCATTGGGGCTAGGCTTGCACTTCCTAGGCCACCGGATCACATTTCAGAACCGAAAGGGAAATGAGACACCATCCATCCCTCTCTCCATTTGAATGATATGAATAAGTCCCCTGCTTTGGCCAGATGTTATGCTGGGGGTTCCCACTCTAACACATTCCATTCATTCTGATCTTATTGGGATGGTTGCAGGTGTCAAAGAGTTAGCTTCCCAACGATCCCTAAGTACGTGGTTTTCTAGAAGACTTCGTCCTGCCGAAAGGAGAAAAATAAAAAGCTACCTATTAGAGCAGTTTAATAAAAATCTCTCCTTTGCTCTCTCCGTCTCTGGGCTGCCAGCTGCATGTTTTATTTTCTGGATGTTTCCTGTACCAACTATTCCCAGTTATAACTGGCTACTCCTGCACGCAGAGGCAAGTGCTTGTTTTCACCATCTTGTGAAGCCAGAGGTTTGAGTGCTAAAGTCTGGTGGTTTACCTGCAAAGGGGAATCCAGTAGGGTGGGCTTCACCTCACCTGATACACCCATTATCACTTATCACACCAGCCCTTCCTGCCTCTTGAGATTCACAACAAAAGGATATTGGGAGCGAAGCCATTTAATTATTTGGTACGGGCCCAGCCAGAAGCATTGGCCTTACTTTTCATAGTCTGCCTCCATTGCCATTGACGGGTCGAAAATTCTGCATGGGCTCCCGTTTCCTGCAGCCACTAAAAGAAATGGAAACAAATAACAAGGAGGGAGGGGAGTGAACTGCTTTGGGAGGGGAAAAGGCTGACCGAGGAAGGGTTATTAAAATAAGTAAAAGCATCACTATGTTCCAAAAAGGAGAACATGCCGTGAGAGCACAGAAATAAGAGACAGGAATAAAAAGAAAGGAGGAGAGGTTGGAGCACACTAGGATGAAGCCATAGACAGAAAAATGCAGGTGGGATATGTATCTTATGAGTCTGAGCATGGCTAAGTAAGTCAATGTTTCAACAGAGGGCTTAGAAGCCCCTCACTGGAACCATCTGAAGTAAGAGCCAGGGAGGAGAAAGGAGAGAGCAGGTGCCTTAGACACTAACGGTTTGCTATTTGGGTCCCGACTCAAAATGTGGTCATGGTTCATAGATGCCAGATCTACGTAGATAAGGGTAGGCAAGCTGACTCTAAGGGGTTTTCCAAAAGTTGCCAAAACTTCTAGCAAAAAGAATGTACAAGTAATGAAAACATGTACAGTTTCTTCTGCCAGTGATTGAACCAGTTAACAAATCCTTGGAATCCCTTAGAAGGTACTTTTGAGATGTCTCTTCTCCGTGTGGGCACCAGAATGGATCCAGTTACGACCTCGAGTAGCAGAAGAAAAGGTATGCAAAGCTCAAGGGAAAGCCAGTATGCTTCGTAACTTTGAGGGCGCGTTTGGTAGCAGTTGCATCATTTGGAAGGCGAAGACTTGAGATGGACACAAAGTGCTGGAGTTCAGAATGATTTAGAAAGTAATAGATTATATTTGTTGGGCAAGAGAAAATCTGCTACGGATTTTCTTCACTGTTCTTATTGTCCAATCCTGATGAAAGGTGCCAGATTGCCCTGAAGCTTTTCGATTTGGCTGAACGATATGAAATTGCTGATCCTCGACTGTTTTTTGACCTACAAAGCAGCAAACAGCAAGGTGACTTTTGCCCTAAATGGGCTGTCAGAAGCCCCTCAGGAACTGGGCATGGAGGTAGGAAGGAGATGCCCAGATGGCTGGGGTGTCCAGGTCTCATGCAAAAATAGATGTCCCTGAAGGAGCTGTCCCAGACAGGTCAAGAGCAGCCTGCTGCTGTGCACAGGCAAAGGGGCAGCTTCTCTGCCTGCAGGAAGCAGAACTTCACATCAGTGTGTCTAAATGGGAGCTCGCTTGGCCTCCCCCACGACAGCAGTGAGCTGCACAGCAGTGCATTTTCTGCAAACTTTTCTGCAGAGTCTGTGGCCTTCTGTCTGATGCATGCTCCCAGGGGTCCTGTAGAAGCAAGTCAATCAGCACGCGGCTGCCTGTCCAGAATACCAAACAGCAAACAGCAGTCTCTCTGCCCCAGCCGACTGCACTGGCACCAACTCCCCGCTCCAAGAGCCCTCTCCCTCCCTCCACGGTGGCTCTTCTACAAACCCACCTGTTTCCAGGTGGCAGAAATATGCCCCGCAATCCAACAATGATTCTAAAACCTTCTCCATGACGATGCAGGGCTGCAAGCAGGCTGCCAGCTCAGAGCCAGCCAGCGAAAGGCCCCAGGGGCAGATGGCATAGAGACAGCTCAGGGCAGTGGGGGATGCCAAAAGTCAGCCCGAGCAGCTTTGCATTTTGGGAGTTAAAACCCCAAACTCTGGGAAAGGGGTCTGGGGAAGCAGTGAGCAAATGTCTCCAGATGCCCAGCAATGATCATTCATTAACCTTGACTTTAGCACCGAAGCCAAATAGTCCAGAGCAGCTGGGACGTCCTTTCTCCCTGTTACAGCTGAATAAGAGGAGGGAAATCCTGAGAATCCAGCAAAGAGGGACCTGGTTTTTTAAATGCGCTGCCAGTGCTTTGTGTTTGGACAAATTCTTTATAAATCTCAAATGTTGTCCAGATGGTGTGTCTCACAGATGTTGCCTCCCCCAGCTGGCCCATATCACCCTTAGCCCCCGCTGCTGGCGAGGTGGCCGGAGCCCGAGAACCAGGATCTCCGCTTCCCCTCCCTAGTATCTAATGACAGCATTAACCTTAGGGCAGGATGCTAGGCACAGCAGGGATGGCTCCTTGAGATGCGGCATCCACAGAGAAGCTTTCTAGGAGACAGCTTACTGTTGGCAGTGTGCGGGGGCATCCAGAAAAATCATAAACAAGTGAGAAAGCCAAATGAGGAAGGTAGGGGCGTATCTGTGAGTTGGAAACCGGGGTGAAGCTAGGAGCCAAACCAGATGGCATCAGTCCTCCTTCTCAACTCTGCCCTTCAGTTTTGGCTTCACTATGGCTAATGCAGAGGCAGGACCCCCGGACCTCTAGGCACCCTTTGGTGGGGAGCCAGGTGCCTCCCCTGCCATGTGCATACTGTACCCCACCCAGCCTCACCCCACCTGTTTAAGCAGAGCCTTTCCAATGGTGTGGTGCTTCAATGGCTGGGTTTCAAAACGGGGGGTACCAAAGGCTCCCAACTCCAACTTGAGAGCAGAAGGACGTACTCATGTCAG